TTTTGACAAATTGACTGAAAGGGTTGATAACAATATTTCACACAAAAAACCGTAAGAAATTTATAAATTTCAAATCATTTCTGGGATAAATGGCTAAACGTTTTTTTCATTCTATCAATTTAAATTTTAAGACTGTATAAATACTGTAACAGGCACATTTTGGCACATAAATGAGCATTTTTCAACAGAGAAATTATTTAATTTCAAATTAATTCCTAAATTGTTGGCTAAGAATTTATATATTCTATCAACTTGAGTTTTTAGACTGTATAATTTCTGTAACTGGCACATTTTTGGCACATAAATGACCAACATTGTCCGATTTAAGGATAGTTTTATTTATGCCTCGCACTCTCTCGTCCGCCTCAAAAAGCCCATCTTGTGCCCTGGCAAATGTATAAGAGAAGAATTAATGTGACCTTAGTACATGTGACCTTTATACATGTCAGATGACTTATTTTGATTGCAATGGGAGATCATGTATAAAAGTTTTATATAACAGAATTGGAAGTGTATAGGGTAATTGTCATTCAATTTTTTAATTTGTTTCTTTAAGATGTCATCTTGTAATATTCAATAGCTTGTTTTGTATTGTAATATTTTGTGTACTTTCTCTGTGTTTACACTATTAGTGTAGATAGAAAAAACACAATGATATGGTCAATACAAAATTATTACATCTAATTCACCCATCATTCAGCTATCTGGGACCAGTTCACATTGTTTTATTATTTTTATTATTATTTCTTTTTTTTTGGGGGGGGGGGTGTTTGCATGGCCAAGTGGTAAGGTTCATTAATTTCAAACCACTTGCCCTTCACCTCCTGAAATCCTCCGAGGGAATTTCATTTTTTTTTTCATCGAAAGAAGCTATCAAGCTAGCTAACGAAATGTCTATGGTTCTGCTCAGGTGTCAGATTGTACCTGAAATAACCACATAGGCCTTCCTCCTTCACCAGTAAGCTGGAAAGTAGCCATTTGACCTTTGAAGTGTTGGTACAATGTAACGTCCAACAATAAAACATAAATAAAAAGACACATTTTCCTGGCTTTGAATTTGAAATAGCTATATATTTTTTTTTTATTTTACAGATTTCAATTTTGAAAATACTGGTACTAAAAGTTGCGTAGTCTCTGTATAGTGGCAACATTTGATACTCAACGTCATTTTTATAAGTAACACGTTGAATTTGTGAATTGTTTTTTGCCAAACTTCAATTTTTTTAACTGTCTATCTGAAATTTAAGGAATTTCAATATCAAAGTTCAAATACTGAGCTACCAACAGTATAGAGCTTACACAAATGTGCAGCTCAGTCTGGCTTTTATATCAAGGTAAAGATTTTTGGAAAAACTGCATGATGGAAAAGGCCTAGATTCTGATTGATAGTTTTATTTCGATATCTTTTAATAAATAAAAACCTCTACATAGAATGTACTTTTCTCGGTTGTGACCGAAAAAGTGTGAAGTCTTTTTAATTTTCCATAATATTTTTCCAACTAATTTAGTCGATTTATCATTCTGTGCTTTGTCCGATCATTGCCTGAATCAGTATAGGAACTATTGTATACAAAGGGAGAGTAGATAAATAAGAACTCTAAGTTCATCTTTTGTAGGGGTTTATGTAATTAAGGTTCAAGAATTTCAATTTCCTTTACATATTTTACAAGTTTTATGTTTATTTGGATGCTTGTTGATAGATTTGCCTAGATTTTAAGGTATTGTCCAGCAACATTGACCTGGCACTCTTGCATATGGTCAAGGTAAGGTACAGAGAGTGGGCAATGTCCCGCGTCCGTCGCTGTGCACTCTAGCAGTCACAGTTTTGACTGGATCATAATCAAACTTTTTTTGTCAAAATGTTTGTCTTAATGTAATACAGAGCATGTTTCAGTATTGGTCAACTCCGTTCAAAAACTATGACCAGTTTGGCAGCTAAAAATAGAAAAATCTTGTTAACTCTCTAGTTACTGCAGTTGTGATCCAAATATCCTGGAAATTGATCAGGAAGATTGTTTTAATGATTTCTAGGTCAAGTTCGAATATGGGTCATCTCCAATTAAGGGGCTAAGAATAGAAACAAATTGCTAACATCTAAGTGGCTGCAATTTTGGTCCAAATATTTTGAAAATTTGTGAGGAAGGTTTTTTCATAACTTCTAGGTCGAGTTCGAATATGGGTCGTCTTGGCTAAAAAACTAGGTCATAGGAGCTAAAAATAGAAACATCTTGTTTACAATCTAGTTGCTGTAGTTTTGATCCAAAAATCCTAAGAAATTGTTTTGAAGTAAAGAATGTTTTGATGATTTCTAAATCAAATTTGAATATGGGTCATAACCGCTCAAAAACTAGGTCACAGGAGCTAAAATATAAAAATCATGTTAAAACTCTAGTGGCTGCAGTTCCGATCCAAATATTCTGGAAATTGGTCAGGAGGTTTTTTGATGATTTCTAGATCAAGGTCGATTATAAGTTATATCCGCTCAGAAACATGAGCTAAATATAGAAAAATCTTGTTAACACTAAAGTGGCTGCAGTTTTGATCCAAAAATCGTAGAAATTGTTAAGGAAGGATGTTTTGATGATTTGTAAATAAAGTTCGAATATGGATCATATCCAGTCAAAAACTAGTTCACATAGGCTAAAAATAGAAAAATCTTGTTAAAACTCTAGTGGCTTTAGTTTTAATCCAAATATTCTGGAAATTGACCAGGAAGGTTGTTTTTATTATTTCTAGTTCAAGTTCGAATATGAGTCGTCTCGAGTCAAAAACTAGGTCACAGGAGGTAAAAATAAAAAAATATCGTAAATACTCTAGTTACTGTAGCTTTGATCTAAAATTCTTGGATATTGATAAGGAATATTGTTTTTATGATTTCTAGATCAAGTTTGAATATGGGTCATATACTGTCAAAAACTACAAATGTATGTCACTGGAGGTAAAATCAGAAAAATTTTGATAACACTTTAGTGTGTGGCTGCAGTGTTGATCCAAATATCCTTGATATTGATCAGTGAGGTTGTTAAATGATTTCTAGGTCAAGTTTAAATATGGATCATCTGAGGTCAATTTGATCAAAATATCTTAGAAAGTTATAGGGAAGGTTATTTTTTATGACTTCTAGGTCAAGTAGGAATACGGGTTTTCTCGGGTCAAAACTAGGAAACAGGAGCTAAAAATAGAAAAAATCTTGTTAACACTCTATTGGCTCCAGTTCTGATCCAAATTTCCTTAGAAGTGACCAGGAAAGTTGTTAAAATTATTTCTAGGTCAAGACTGAATATGGGTCGTCTGGAGTCAAAAACTAGGTCACAGGAGCTTAAAATATAAAATTCTGGTAACAAAGTGATCCGTCGGAAGCATTAATCACAACAAAATAACATAAGAATTGCAGACTCGGTTTGATTGAGTCTGTACATGAGGGATAATGAATGAGTCCAACATCCCTCACGCCCCCTAGCACCGGCTTGAGCGGTACTCAATTCTCAACACTTTATAGTGTTGGCATCAATGATCCCGAAGAACCAGAAATGATAACAACGCTGAAGTGAAGTACGGGGCAACGTTTTACGGCTGCCACACGGCACTTGACACCTGCTGATTTGAAGTACAAAATTCTGGTTACAAAGTGATCCGTCGGAAGCATTAATCACAACAAAATAACATAAGAATTGCAGACTCGGTTTGATTGAGTCTGTACATGAGGGATAATGAATGAGTGCAACATCCCTCACGCCCCCTAGCACCGGCTTGAAACCTTGTTAACACTCTTGTGGCTGCAGTTTTGGTCATCTTAATATTCTGGAAATTTGTGAGAAAGGTTTTTTCATGACCTCTAGGTCAAGTTTGAATACGGGTCGTCTTGGCTCAAAAACTAGGTCACAGGAGCTAAAAATAGAAAACTCTTGTTATTACTGTTTTGATCCAAATATCCTTGAAATAGGTCTGTAAGTTTGTTTATGATTTCTTGGTGAAGTTCGAATATTGGTCATCTGGGGTCAAAAACTAAGTTACACCACCTTAATATGGAAAAACCTTATAAACACTCTTATGGACACATTTTTGACTTAATTGTCATCAAACTTGATCAAGATGCTTGTCTAATTATTTGCTTGGAGATGTTTGAACATGGGTCATATCTGATGAAAAACTTGATCACATGAGCTAAAAATATAAAAATCTTGTTAACTCTATATTGGGTCGAGTTGTTACCCAAATATCCTGGATATTGGTCGTCTGCAAGTTTATCTTGATATTTATAGGTCAAATTCGAATATGTGTCACCTGGACTCAAAAACTATTGCATTGCCCAAATACGAGAAAACGTTGTTAACACTCTGAAGTTCACATTTTTGACTGTATTTTTATCAAACTTGGTCAGGATGCTTTTCTAAGTAATTGTTTCAAAGAGTTCGATGGGTCAGGTTAGCGATAAAATGCCATCTTGGCCCTCTTGTTTCATATTAAATTTGTCCTGATGTGGTTCGTTATCAAATGTTACCAAATTTAGTTTATAACCAAAGTTTGGTTTGATTTCAGTGTGGTCTGATATCACATTTAACAAATGTGGTTTGATATCAAATTTTGCGATATTTTACAATATCAATTTTTTCTTAATGTGGTTTGGTTTCAAATTTAACATTATTGAAATCAATATTACTGTTGGTTAATATTGTTTTTAGGTAAATGTTTATTTTTGCATGAATTTCTTTTCTAAAAATGTGTTAGTTCAAACTTAAGGATGAAACGTTTATATCAGGATACAAAAGCTTACAAAATGTCATTTGAAATTAATATTTTGTTCATATTTCAGGGCAATTAAGATGGAATTATTGAAATATAAGAGCCTAATAGTACAGAGTTAGGACAGAAAACATGGTAGTTTTGTTTTTGATAAATATTTGTCATTTTACAGGACGGGTTACTTGGATGTTAATAGTATAACTTAATGTGGCATGTAATTGGTAGTCTGAATACCATGGTGTTCTGTTTTTTTACAGGATGATGATAATTGTTCTATTTCAACATGTGAGAGCGTAGCCTCGACGGTGATAGCGCCCTCTGATGATGAACAGATGCTGTTGGATAACGAGGAGAATCGTGACACTGACGAAAGTGGCACTGCGAGTGCTGCCAGTCCTAAACCTCTTCATCTTGATGATAGAGGTAATCATATCCTTTACTCTGCTGGCGGTTGCTAATCTACCCATGTGACCAGTGCAGACAAAGATCAGCAGGCACATACCTGCTGTATGATCATCTTTTGCATTGCTTATCTATTTATTTAAGTTTTCTCTAAACATTTTGAATGGTTTTGACAACATTGATAGACCGACATGTCCTTTTAAAATATTTAGCATAGACAAATTATTTCAATATAATGTTTAATATGTTTTTCTTCGTTGCACGAACCATACAATGAATAAAAGTCAAACACAGCACATGTGAAATGAGACTTTATTGTCCTATAGTTTTAACCGGATATACGGTCGGAGCAGCGTAAGAACAACCGCCAATGAAAACAGCTCAAGGCTTCAAAGTACTATACATAAAAAGTTAGAGTCACTAAATACTACATGTATATTATTTTATACCTGCTGAATATGTGTAAAACTGTTGTTCCGCTACATTGTAAATTGTGCAGAGTAATAACCTACAACAAAATTAAAATCAATCCAAACTAAGATTTAACACTGAATTTAAACTCTCTGCAGTCTATTAAACAACAACCAAAATGTTTGCCTCCTGGAGGATTTGTTTTGCAAAGGTTATACTGCAGTCCAAGAGATTTAAGTATCAGAGCAAGTAGCAGACTGCATAGAGTCCATAGAGATGTAACATTATATTTGGTTGGTAGGGGTGCGGAAGATTTCTGAAAAGTCACTTTGTACATCATAGTCAGTAGAGACTGCATTAGATTTTTTTACCTTGGACTTGTAATCCAAGTTTACCTTTTTAAATGGAGAATTTGAGGACCACTTCTTGGAAATATGTTAATTCTTAAATTGATAAAAAGTACATCTTTGGTTAAAAAAACCCTGATGTAAATTGTTCCCAGAAGTAGTCATGATTTATGTTTAATTGGTTCAGATATGAGAAAAAATCCGAAGGCAGATTCATCACGACCACATGAAAGCTCACAATATCAAATGCAAGGACATGACCCGAGGGATATGCGTGATGACCCGCTGGATCTTAGAGGTCCACAGTCAGGAGCCATGAATCTGTCAATGAGGCAGCCTGAAGGTATAGATTAAACTATTCATGGTTATAAAGGGGATCCTACAGATTATGAACAGTTTGGCACAAAGAGGGGTGGCCACCCTTACAGGGATCAAGGTGTGGAACCCAAGCAAAGAAGGGTTATGGCAATGGCAACCACACCTTCTCATGCCCACATGAGCTCCCCCCATTTATATTTTTAATTTAATATATGTATACTACATTATTCCTCTCAACACTTGCTGTTTATATCCTTGTTTTTGACATTTTTTGTCATTCTAAGTTCTTAGGTTATAAAAAAACTGTTTCATTGAAAAATGTTTTCGATAGTAAATGTCATCTGTTGCATGTTGTTATATTTTTTGCAAAGGATTGACCAAAGGTGAAGATCATATATCGAAAACTTATTTCAAAATACCATGATTTCTTTCCTAGTTGAACATTTGTAATTTTAAGATACTATTTATTTTCAGAAACTTTTTTCCTTGTTCCTTTCTAGGGGTGGTAGCTTACTAGGGGTATAATAACCCATTTGTGCTAACAAGTTACCACATTATCTTATTTTGTATGTTATTATATATTGCATATTCTTTTCAGAGAACATTCTTTTTAATAATGATTTATTGGTCTTATTAAATTTGTCAAATTGTCTGTTTAACCAAAATACTTTTATTCTTCAGGTTTGCCACAAGCTTCATCCTCCTACAGTCCTAATGGGGGTCAGCATGTGGGTAAGTCTGTACTTCACCCACCAAACCTTATTAACAGCACCAGTTCCAGACTGGCCAAGTCTCCAACCTCTATTTATCTATCAACCCAAACATCTGGGTCTATCACCGACAGAACACCAGTTGAACCCTACCCTACCCATAGCCTACCTTCAACTTCTCCCTGTGGTTGTAAGTCTATACTCTTTTTATTTCACGACATTATTAAAAGTGAATATTTTAACACATCATGGTACTTTGAAAAAACATTTCTGTTTAAATCCCTGTTATTTGTTTGATAATAGGCAGTTAATCTTGTGGAAGGCTTTTATGGCTTTTAACCGTTTACTTCATATAAGCGTGTTTTGACAGCTTTTCACCCACCCTCCATCACTCCCTACCTCCCTCCTTTTGAGGCGTCAATTGGTGCAAAAAATGTCCTTTAAAGACAAATGTTTTTTCTTCCTAGAAATGATGTTAAAAAAGGTGATCACTTTTTTCGGCGCCGACCCCTATCAAAAAAGTAAATATTGGACTTGCAAGATGCTCATTTCGATCTTAAGGTAACTTGTAACCAATACTGAAAATTCTTTGACTTTATCTCCAGTTAGAAGTTGCAGCACTTTGAAATCAATTTCGATGGAAAAAATCAGCGCAAAATAGTGATTTTTTGCAATTTTGAGATATCCCCTCTTTGCCATGGCCACATTTAATTTAAGATTGAGTTTGCCGTTACAAAGCCTATGGTTTACATTTTTAGCCAAGTTCAGTATTAAATCATTTTTGTGTCGCTTCTACGGGGATCACTTCTCCATCGTCTGTTTGTCCGTCTGTCAGTCAGCCCCTTACAGTCCTCTCGGGGGTCAAAATGGGGGTTATAAATCTAGCGTCCATGAAGGTTTACCCTCAGAGTGTCTGTCAATTTATCTTTCTGTTTGTCCCTTCCTGCAAACTGTTTCCTGAGATCACTGTTAAAGAATTTTTCCAACTAGTTGTAAGTATTCGTCCTGAGAAAATTCATTACTATGCCGGGAATCTTAATAAGATATAAACAAACTAAGAACTCAAACGAGATTTTAAGTTCATTCATTCATTCAATTGCATAATTCAATGACCGATGGCCCTTCAGAAAGTTGCTGGAGTTCGAACAGGTAGGGGACTTACGAATTGCTTGCAGTACTATGATAATTGTTTGTTTATAAATGGCTTGTCGTCAAACATGGACACAACAATTTTTAGGACAATACCTTTTTGTAGACCCAATGGATGATAACCTTCACTCATTAAGCTACAATAATTGAATTGCTTGATTTTTACTATAATTGATTATAATTTTGTCATTTATGAATGCAATATCTTGATAATTGTGCACATCTTCCGTGAAATACAGTCCGACCCCGGTTATTCAACAACCCTTTATTCGAATACCCGGCATTATCCGAAGTAAATCAGCGGTGCCGTTTTTATCTATATAAATCAATATAAATACGAGCGTATTATTTGAAATGCATTATCAAAACCTCCTATTTTTTTCAAGAAAGTTATCGGTTCCGATTATACAATTATGAAAGATTTTCACACCTTTTATTCGAAGCAGCCTAATATGCAATAAAATAATTTGTACGAATCTTTTCTTTAATATTTATTTTTCTCAATAGATTGCAGGAAGTAAGTGTGTTGTAAACGGTAGTTTTGCTATGATTGGTCAAAGTGGAGTAGTTTTCGTCTATCACAATATTCCGATTTCGATTATTCGATCCCATCGATTACTCGAAGTAAATATTCAGTCTTAGGTACTTTGAATAAACGGGGTTGGACTGTAGATCAAACTTTGTTTTATTTTTTTACTCGCAAATGACCATGCCGTTGAAGGTAAATTTTTGTAATCTTAGTTGTGTTTTTGGTCTTTTTGGCTGTAACTTTGTAAGTGATAAGCGGATTGTCTCTATTCTTGAGCACAACAATTTTTCGGAAAAAGACATAAAAGAAGGTTAAATTAAACTTGACATTGACGTCAAATTATTGAATTTTGCAACAATTGGCCATATCTTTGTTATTTATTTAGGGATTTGATTTTTCTTGGGAAAAAGAACATTTAATATAACCAAACTGATATTTAAAATATGACTTTGACCTTTATATGACCTCTACTGTTATATTTTTTTTATTTAATGACGGATTTGATTAAAACTTGAACAAAAGAACCCTATTGACAAAATTGACATGTTCACTTATTTGATATGACCTTAAATTATTTTGATATAAACTTAACCATCAATTGACCTTCAAATTCAATATATTGAACTTCGATTAAATATTTGCCATAACTTTGCTAATTAATCCCCTTCCACACAGCAGGAACGGGATTATAGGAATGGCCTCCGTCTGACCGTCCTTCTGTCCGCTCTACCGAATATGGATTTGGTGCCAGCTAATTGTAAACAGACTAAATGAGAACAATAGAATTCATTCTGTAACAACAGAATAAAGGGTCAATGGTCCTCTATTAAACAAAAGACAATAACAATAGAAATGACGCTTTATCCCGATTCGGTCACATAGCTGCCCGTCTGTCCGTCCATAACACTTTTGTGTCTGCTCCATAACTTTTAAACTGCTGATTTTTAAAAAAAAAATCGGCACAAGTAATCACCATTAAGAGACTATGTACAGAGAGCAATAATTGGGTTGCTTTCCCCAAGGACAAGGTCACACTTTAAGGTCAAGTGTTATTAAAAAATCATTCATTTCGTGATTTTTTTTGATAACTTGGCACACAAAATCACCATCATGAGGCAATGTGAAGAGCATAATAATTGGGTTATTTCCGTCAAGATCAAACTTTAAGGTCAGATGTTTAAAAGGCTACATTTCTTGTCCACTACATAAGGTTAAGGTCACATTTTAAGGATAAGTGCTAAAGTTTCTACATTCTGTGTGCGGTCCATAAAAAATGAAATTACCTGGCACTAGTGATCACCATAATGAGACAATATGCAGAGTGCAATGATTTGGTTGCTACACCCAAGGGCAAGGTCACAATTTAAGGTCAAGTGTTAAAAAGTCTACATTTTGAGTCTGCTCCATAATTTTATAACCGCTGATTTTTTTTAAATAACTTGGCTCAAGTGATCACCGTCATGAGACGATGTGCAGAGCACAATAATTGGGTCGCTAACGCAAAGGTCAAGGTCACACTAAAAGGTAAAATGTTAAGATGTCATTGACATTCCTAGCAACCATTAAAATCTTGTTTCTTTTTTGTGTAAGTTATCAAATTAAAAATAAATTATGTTATATTTCAGCTGATCTAGCAAAAACGGCATCTGATAAGGATCTGAGTAACATTGCAGAATGCATTGGCTCAAACTGGGAAATGCTAGCACCTTTTCTTATAGAGAGAAACTTAACAGCTTCAGTTGAACAGATAAAAGTTGATCATAAACAAATTCGACAGCGTGTGTATTATTTACTTAAGAAATGGCATACACAGACAAATGACCCGTCATTGGCTCATTTATTTCACTCAATGTACAAAGCTAGTACCTCTGTGACAATTGATTGGAACGAAATTGCTTACAAACTCAAAGTTACTATACAGGATATCCAGGCATGTAAGTTGTAGTTTAAAGTTTTCTTTTGCAGTTCAATATTTAATATTAATAAAATACAAAATATTTTAGTTTCATTTTTAAATTCGTAAGAGTAAAGCTGTTCTTAATATTTTTTTATATCAAAATTAGTTAATACTATTTTCAGCTCACTAAAACAAAAGAAATATTGTGATGTCAGGAGACATTGTTAATGCTCTAATATAATGGGACTCTTTTAAGGGTTGCGTGAGCTAAAAAAGAAGAAGTGTCCTACATTCTTTTCAGGACCAATAGATTGACCATAGATGGTCATCTATCAACATTCTCTCATCTCCTTTTATAGGTCATCGGTGTTAAAAATAGTTAAACTTTAAACATCTAAAGTTTCGTGTCAGAACTTTTTCTCCTATTAGCACAGTGGGCTAATATACAGGGACTTAAATTGAAAAGAAACACCATAACGTTTTCCCAATTTAATGGTGGCAGATACAAAATGAAATTTATTCCATTTGATGTTTGAATTAGATCAGAATGAATCTGAAAAGTGACATACTTACTTGCCGTAGTGAATCTAGTGACAATTTGACCCAATATTATATCTAAATGTGCTTATCAATTAGCAGCAGTTCTTCGCTTGACTCAAACAATGACCCCTTGTCAGTCACAGTGCTAAACATTTGTTGACCTATAATATAGTTAGTATTTTAGCCATTTAAAATTTCTGAGATTTGGTTAATGATTCTTTAACATCCCACATAATCGGCGGGTATCAAATCACTTATTGAAAGATTAAGGAATTAAAGATTTCACAATAAATACTTCTAGTTTTAGTGTTCTCTTTATCAGCCCTCTTGTTTAGGGATTTGTCAGTAAGTATCAGAGATAAGCTTATTCAATAAACTCATAATTGACCTTTTACTATAAAAATTCATTGATCCGATGGCTTACTGTGTTTTTTTCTGATCATCTGTGACTTTTATTGCTCCTAGGCCGAGGAGCCAACTCAGTTTTAATCCCTGAAAGAATTTAACTCATATTGTAATCGACATATGGGCTAATCATTATCAGTTCTGTCCCAGCTGACCTGAGTATAAAATGCTCTAGAGGTGTGATTTTGTGATGGCAGTGTATCCATTATCCATAATTTATCAACAGCTATAATTTGTCATTATCCACAATTTCCTTAAGGATTCTGTGGAAACTTCGCAGGAATGATTTTTACATAAAGATTATAAAAAATGGAAAACAAAACAACCACAAAAAACAATGTCTTGTTGACAGCTACATATGATGTACCAAGGTTGTTCAAGTTATAGCCCATGGAGTCGAAGTTTGCCAATCCTAGAAGGTCATGAGTTTCCTTATACATTTACACGTATAGTAAAAACTTTTAAATCTTCCCTTCAGAACAAGCAATGTGTCCAGTGGTATTTGACATGACATATTTTCAAGTGGAACCCTACTAAAATAATTCAAATTATAGTTCTGGGGTCAAAACAGACCCAGTACCAAGGATCATCAGTATCATGTAGTAAAAATGAAAAAAAAACTTCACCAGAACCCATAGATTTTTAGGCATTTTCCAACACTTGATTTAAACTTTTCCTCCATTTAAAATACCCGGTAGCTAAATATATATGAAATTAAACTTTGATTTATTACAAGTATCTGTATGATTGGTCTTTCATTATGATTTGAATTAAGAAAAATTTTGTTTAGGTAACACAGGATACCAGCATCTAGAACAAGAAACTGGGAAACAGCAAGCTTCAGGTAATACTTAGAATATTAGATATATGTTACACTCTTTTATTATGATCCCGGAAGGGTGAGCATATAATCCCTGCTTTGTTCATCTGGAAGTTGGTCTGTCCGCTTTTCTTGTCCGGAACATTGATCTTAAACAACAAGAGGTATCAACATGAAACTTTGTAGGAAAATTGATCTTATTAAGTTGTTGTGCAATGCACAAAAACCGTTACTCTGCCATCCCTTATTTTGGTGTTATTGCCCTTTGTTCATTTTTAGCATACCTGTCACAAAGTGACATACTGTACTTTTGTGATCTCTTTTCGCCCGGCGTCTTTAATTTAAACGGCATCTCCTCATAGAACGCTGAGCCAATTTCATCCAAATTTTACAGGAATGTTCCGTGGGTAGTCAACTTTAAAAAAATGTTCAAAAATTTTAATTCCGTGCAGAACTCTGGTTGCCATGACAACCGAAAAAAACAACTTTAAAACTCTTATTTTAAAAAGCTGAAAGAGCTAGAGCTAAAATGTTGGCATGAAACATCGTTAGTCGGTGTCTACCAAATTTCTTCAAATAAAAGCCCTGGGGTTAAAATTTGCACCCTCCAGGGAGTCATTGATTTTCCTTATTTGTATTTAGTAAAAACTTAAAAAAATCTTCTTTTAAAAAAACCCTTTTAGCTAGAGCTTAGATATTCAGAATGAAACACCTTCTATTCGATGTCTACCAAGTTTGTTCAATAAAAGCTCTGGGGTTAAAATTGGCCCGGTACCAGGGGTCATTGTTATTTTCTTTATGTATATAGAAAAAACTTTAAAAAGTATTCTTTTAAAATACCAAAAGAGCTAGAGCTAAGATATTTAATATTAAAACATCTTTAAATTGATGTTTTGTTCAAATAAGGGCCCTTTAGGTTGAAATTGGCCCCGTCCATGAATCATTGATTTTGCTTATATATGTATAGTAAAAACTTTAATAACTTTTTCAAAAAACCCAAACAGGTAGAGTTTAGATACTAAGCATAAAATATTTTCTGGAGAGTGTCTACCGAGTTTTTTTTTTTCAAATAAAAGCCCTGGGGTCAAACTTGGGCCGCCTGGGGGTATCATACTTTCCCTACATGTATATAGTCAAAACGTAATAAAATCTTCTTTTAAAAACCCCAAAGAGTTAGAGCTTAGATATTTATTCTGAAACATCTTCTAATGGGTGTCTATCAAGTTTGTTCAAATAAAAGCCCTTAGGTTAAGATTTGCCCCTGCCCGAATGCCTATGTAAAGGTTAGCTATTTCAGGGCCATCATTGCCCTCTTGTTACTCTTTGAAGTTTGTCCGGTACATTACTCTGAAACCATTACATTTATCAGCAAGCATCTTTATAAGTAGATTACATTTAGTAGAAGTGCAATGCAAACGAACCATAACTTTGCCTTCCCTTAGTTTGAAGTTATTTCCCTTTGTTTTTTTATTACTTTGAACTTTGTCTGGGATAGCTCTCAAACCATTAGAGGTATCAACATGAAACTTTGTAGGTAGATAAATCCCATTAAATAAAAGTGTAAAAGAACTGTCAACTTGCTTTCCTTAATTGTGGAGTTATTGGCCTTTGGTAATTTTACACTTTAATCATTTTTCAGGGCATAGCTCTGAAAGCATAAGAGATATGAAAAAGATGTTTTGTAGATAGATATATCTCGTTGTGTAGATGTGGAGTGCATAAGAATCATAACTCTGCCTTGTCTAATTTTGGAGTTATTGCCCTTTGTTTATTTTACACTTTGAACTTTGTCTAGGTCATAGCTTTGACTAGGAACAAGAAAAATTTGTAAGTAGATAGATGTCATTGGATAGATGAGCAGTGCAAAAATCGTAACTCTGCCTTGCCAAATATTTGGAGTTATTGCCCTTTGCTCATTTTTATAATTGAACATGGTCTGGGACATAACTCTGGGCGCTCAAACAAGGGGTTAAAAGGCAACGTCATATTAGCCTTGAAGGTAAAAACGGTTTCTAATCAATAACATGAGAACCCATGTTCCCTTGTTCCTCAAACTGCATGGATGCATTAGTGTAAGCTAGTAAATAAACCGTATTGATTTCGCAGTTAAGTAGTCGAAAGTCAAGGTCACATTGATCTTGTAGGTAATAACTGTTTCCGATCATTTATTTGACAACCATATTTTGTTGGCCCTCAAACTTTGTAGGTGGATTGGTCTTGGCAAGTTGTTAACCCTTTTTGATTTTGGGGTCAAAGGATCAAAGGTCAACACCATATTGACCTTGTAGGTAAAACAGTTTCCGATTAATTACATGACAATCAATGGGCCTTTGGCCCTCAAACAGCATAGGTGCATTTGTCTTAGCCAGTAGATGACCCCTATTGGTTTTGGTCAGGGGGATAAAATATCAAGGTCATATTGACCTTGTATGGAAAAGCTGTTTGCTAACAATAATTGGACAACCCATGAACTCTTGACCTTCAAACTTCATAGATGCATTGTTTTTGTCAGAATATGACCTCAATTGATTTTTGAGGACAGGGGGTCAAAGGTCAAGATCACATTTACCTTATATGCAAAAACACTTTCGGATCAATACCTCAACAACTCATGGACATTTTACCTTCAAATTTCACGTAAGTCTTGGCCAGTAGATAACCCCTATTAATTTAATAATCTAAGGTCAAAGTCATATTGTCCTTTTACATAAAAACGGTGTCCGACCAATAGCTCAACAACTCAAGTTGCCTTGATTAATATTCTTTATTAAACTTAAATCGTCTAAAGTAAACACATTTCAAGGTCAAATGTAAAACGCTATTGGTATTCACATTTCAAGGTCTAATGTAATATTACAAATTGGCTATAATTAAGATGACCTACATGATTCATTAAATGTATGCATTTTTTGTTTGGTATAACTATTTCATAAATTTGCTGCACACAACATTTACATTCACAATTACCTAGTGACTATTCATGACCAGGAGATAACCCCTATTAATGTTTCAGTCACTAGGTCTAAAGTCAGTCACAATAACTTGACCACATAATTACATGTAATTGAATGTCGAATGGGGGCAAACATGTTTAACAACGATATCTTGTTCTAAACTGATTCGCTGCATTAAGTTGGCAGTATAGACTAAGAATAATAATGATGCACTTGATTGTCCTATATATTGTGTAACGTGTTAGGTTAAATAATAGTTGATTTTTAATGTATAATTATGAATTCTTGGTAAAAAATTATATATATTATGATGGTCTGGTTTTTAGCTAATCAGAATAGAAGGTTCAGGGTGAGTTTTCAGTATCAAAGGGGGATGGTCCCACGTCCATCGTCCGTCGCCATGCGTCAACAATCATCTTCTTTGAAACTGCTAAGCAGATTTATCTCAAATTTGGTCTGTTGCATTGTTATGACAGTCACCTTAAATTTGCTCATGCCATTTCAGCTGAACTCTTTTCGGGGTAACCAGAGCTTAAAATAGAAATAGAAAAAATAAACATCTTCTACTACTAAATTAAACGTTAGATGATCACAAACCTTTGCCTCTAGCATTCTTAGGTAGTCTTTTATCAAATTTGCACATGTGAATTTGATTGGATCCTTTTAGGGGACATTAAAGCTGAAAATAGGAAAGCGATTTTACGTCTCTTTCTACTAGACTAATGGGTAGATGATCACCAAACTTCGTCTGTAGCATTCTTAGATACCCTTTTTAGCAAAGCCCATATTAAGTTGGTTTGCCCCTTTTAGGGACCGCTGTAGTTAAACATAGAAAACCTTTCAACATTTTTGTACTAAACCAATTGATGGATAATCACCAAACTTTAGATTGTCTATAATTAAATTTATTCAAATTAATTTGATTGGCTCGTTTGGGGCCTCTAGAGCTTAAAATAGAAACAATTTTTGACAGCTTTTCCTACTTAACTAAAAAATGAATGATAACTAATCTTTATCTGTAGCATTCTTAGGTAGTCTTTTATCAAATTTGCTCATGTGAATTTGATTGGTCCCTTTAAGGGGTCTGACTGATGGATGATCACCAAACTTTATCTGTATCATTCTTAGATGGTCTGTTATCATATTTGCTCATATAAATTTGATAAGACACTTTTTTATGGCTGCTAAAGCTTAAAATAGGAACAAAAACTTTAATAGTCTCCTACTAAACTAGTAGATGAATGATCACCAAACTTTGTCTGTAGCCTTCTTAGGTAACCTTTTTAGGTTAGGATTTTTGTCTGTCGTCCAATAATATTTTATTCAAATAACATCTTCTATGATACCACTTAGCCAATTTTAATGAAACTTGGAAGGAATACTCCTTGTATGAAGCTCTATCAAGATTGTCCACAGAATTCCATTCCGTGCTAAACTGGTTACTCTGGCAACTAAAAGAAAACACTTTAAATTTCTTCTATTTCAAAACTGAAAGGGCTAGAGCTAAGATATTTCTCACATGGCATTTGCTTGTTGGTTTCTACAAAGCATATTCAAATCATTGTCCAGAGTTGAAAATTGGTCTCTGTTTTGGTAGTGAACGGGTTTTTATTGAAGGGAAATATAGACTTTCTTTGTAGGGATAAATTTAGATGTTGTTTATAGTAATTTTTGTTTCAACTGACATTGTTATGAAGATTTTTCTGATAAAGGTTTAGAAAGATGAAAAGATTATTGAATGTGAATGTTAAGGTAGAACACCCCTAATATGCACTATAAGGAACTGTAAAATTGACAACATAGGATAATTGTATGCCTTAAATGTCACCTGTATGCAAAATTTAAACAAAATTCACCGTGTGGTTAATGAGTTATGGACATTTTTCTGAACTAAAACTTTGCTATTAGAAGGTGTTTTTTTTTTCAGAAATGAGGAAACTCTAAATAATCTATAATATCATCATGATGAAAAATGTTTTCCTATTCCTAAGTTCGTAACAGTTATTGAATTATTTTGAGCACATTTTTGTTATTTATGTAGAAAAATATGAATGTTGCTGTAAGTAAATA